ATTAATTGCCCATTCTTTACTTTAATAGTGACTTGTCTTTAATAACCTACAAAAGTGCAGGTGTACAGTTGGTGATCTAATTTAAAAAAAGTATCTGCTGAGTCACTTTTTAGCTGTAAACAAGAGTATTTGCTGTTCCGCCTATCACCCTGTCCTCCTTATTTCTCTTTCTCAGAACCTTGTTCCAATACTTAAATATTAATCTGGATATTTGTCGAAGGCTTGGCTGATTTACCTAGGAGCCTGTGAATTTATTACCAGATCTTAGCTCGTTTACCTCATCAATTCTTGTTTTATGCAGACCTGGCTTTATCTTGAATTGTTTCGCAGTCAGCAGTTCGTCGTAACGCGACTGTTGTAACTCGCGCCAATTGTTCGCATTGTACATTGCTGAGTCTGGGAAATTATCTGTAATTTTAAATGAAAAATTTCAGCCATCTGTATGAAGCCAATGTATCTTATGAAGTATTACAAAACATATGTTAGCAACCTTAACATTTCGATTTTGCGTGTGAATCGGCATACCTCTTGTAACATGTTATTTGAGAATAAATTATTATTATCTTCGTCTGACATTTCAGGAATGGATATTCTACCAGGAGATTCAGTGGTTTTCTTAGAAAATGCTGATGACATAGATCTATTCAACTCCGCCTGTAGATCATTCAAGGCTACAGCTAGTCCCAAGCCCGGATAAAGAGGAGGGTTTGGTATGGGGTTGGAGACCCATCCCACCAAAAAACTAACTCGCTAAGAAAACGATAACCAGAAAAGATAATTTAAACCATTTTAACTCTGCCCTGGGATAAGGATTATGATGTCTCGTGATCTAAGCCAAGTTCCCGAGTTCCCATAGTACTAACTTAAACTCACTGAACGCAGTTAAGACAACTGAGACTAGCTTCAGGGAAACTGCTGTCATACTCTCGTCATGAAGAGGAAAATGCCTCACATACATAAGGGGTTGCACTGATGCTGTCCAAACATGTACAAAAGGCACTGATAGGATGAGAATCTCATCGACCTAGGATCATTAAAGCATCCTTCAAAACAAAGAAAGATGACATCACAATGAATGCCATCCAGTACAGTGCACCTACCAACGACTGCAATAAAGATGTTAAACATCAATTCCATGACAGGCCTCAGTCAATAGACGAGGGATGCTCACCATAGGATTTGACGGTTCTGATGGGAGACCTAAATGTCAACGTTCTCACGGACAACACTGTATATGAAGACATCATGGGACGAAATGGACTGGGAGAGAGGAATGAAAATGTTGAGGGACTTACAAACCTATGTGCCTTCAACAAACTGGTAATCGGCAGAACAATATTCCCACACAAACGCATACAAAAAGCTACACGGATTTTACCGGATCACACTACTCAGAACCAAATCAACCATATCTATATCAATTAAAAATTCTGAAGGACCATCGAGGATGTGAGGATAAAGAGAGGAGCTAATATAGCCTCAGATCACCACTTGCTGATGGCCAAAATGAAACTAAAACTACAGAAACACTGAACAACGTGGCAGACAACATCACACACGTTTAATAAGGCCTGTCTTCGGGATACCGTTAAACTCAAAGAATTCAAGATAGCCCTCACCAATAGGTTCCAGGCCTTGCACGATATACTCATTGTAAAGGATGCAACATTGGAGAACAGTTGCAAAGGGATCAAAAAGGCAATTACTTCAACATGTTACGAGGTTCTGGGCTACAGGAAATACCATCACACGGAATGGACTTCTGCCGGTACTCTTGAAAAAAATCAAGAAAGGAGGAACAATGTCAGCCGAAAAAGAGCAGATAAAGTTACAGCACAAGCTGCATACACAGGAGCGAACAGGGAAGTGAAGAAGAGCATAAGAGCTGACAAACAAAAATATGTGGAAGATCTAGCAATGACGGCGGAAAAGGCTGCAACAGACGGAAACTTGAGACAGTTGTGCGAAACAACAAAGAAGCTCTCTTGAAACCACCGTAAACCAGAATGACCAGTGAAAAGCAACGAAGTCAAATTAATCAGCAACACTGAAGAACAGCGAAATAGGTGGGTAGAGCACTTTAAGGAACTCTTGAATCGACCAGCTCCACTGAACACACCCAACATCGAAGCAGCATCTACGGACCTCCCAATCGATGTTGGCGCACCTACAATTGAAGAGATCAGCATGGCCATCAGACAAATCAAGAGCGGCAAAGCAGCAGGACCAGACAACATTCCAGCAGAGGCAATGAAAGTAGATGTAGAAGCAACTGCGAAAATATTTCACATTCTCTTCAAGAAGATTTCGGATGAGGAACAAGTACCATCAGATTGGAAAGAAGGATACCTCATCGAAATGCCAAAGAAAGGCAAGTGTGAGAACTACAGAGGCATCACTCTTCTCTCAATACCAGGCAAAGTCTTCAACAGGGTATTGTTAAACAGAATGAAGACTTCGCAGACGCCCAACTTCGAGATCAACAGGTTGGATTTCGTAAAGATGGATCGTGCACTGACCAAACTGCAACACTAGGAATCATTGTGGAACAATCAATTGAACGGAACTCACCACTCTACATCAACTTCATCGACTACGAAAAAGCATTCGAAAGCGCGGAAAGGAAAACACTGTGGAGGCTTATTCGACACTACGGTGTGCCTGAGAAAATAGTTAACATCATACGAAATTCTTATGATGGATTCGACTGCAAAATCGTGCACGGAAGACAGCTAACAGACTCGTTCGTGATGAAGACTGGTGTCAGGAAAGGTTGCTTACTCTCACCCTTTCTCTTTCGCCTGGGGATCGACCGGATTATCAGGAAGTTAACATCTGGAGGGAAGTACAGTATACAGTTGATAGTCTGGATGCAGCTGGATGACTTGGACTTTGCAGATGACCTGACTTTTCCATCTCACACGCAACAACATATGCAAGAGAAGACGAGCAGTGTAGTGACACTTTCAGCAGCGGGCCTCAATATACATGAAGGGGAAAGCAAGATTCTACGATACAACACAACATGCGCCAACCAAATCACTATTGATGGAGACTCCTTCAAGGACGGCAACACCTTTACATATCTGGGCAGTAACGCAGCACCCAACTGCGTCACCAGACAAGCCCTTTCTTGTTACCCTTCAGGGAAAAAGAAAAGAGGAAGGCCGAGCAACACAATACGCCAAGAAATAGAGAAAGACAGAAAAATGGACGAAAATTAGATAGAACGCGGAGCCCAGGAGAGAGTTTGTTGAAGAAAACTGGTCGCCGGCCTACGGTTTATTGGGGGTAGAGGCATAAGTAAGTGATAATCCTATTCGGTGAGGACGCTGAAAAAATTCAGTCTTCTGACTCCCCTAAGCAACAATCCACGCATGTTCGGGATGCGGTTCTCACCCTCGAAATGCAAAATTTTGCTTCAAGATTGGTTTGCATCGGCACCTGAATTGGTGATAGAGAGCGAAATACTCGAGCGTGTATACCGTCTTACTTATCTCGGGAGTCTCATCAGTGCCTATGGCCTGGTGTGTAACGCAATCTCAGCACGGATACAGGATGCTCGATTGGTTTCATCATTTATGGCGTAGGCGAGATTTCCGTCTGCTAACCGAAGGACGAGTGCACTGCGCAGCAGTACTGCCGAGTAAGCAATGCTGTTATCAGGAAACCAGAATGGCAGATCAACAGATGAAGTATTGAAACTTCATCAATTGAGGTGGTTGGAACATGTGTTACGAATGCCTAACCACCGACTACCTTCAGAAGCAATATTTTGGGGTATAGGAGTAGTTAGGAAGAAAGCTAGGGGCGGCCAGACCAAAACATCGCAGAAATCCATGAGTCACTGACAAGTGGACTGAGTCATGTTGTTAGATGTACGGTACCTGGTTGGGGTCCGCGAGACGAAAGTCACCAATGGTTAGAGACCTTGAACGACATGGCTCAAAATCGTTTGTAGTGGCGCTGGCGCAATCACTATTTGTGTTCTGAGAAATTCCAACCTTCTGAATTCATCATTTCTAGCTTTCTCTTTCTAAAGTTAACTCACTGAACTATATTTTTCGAATATCTTCGATCCCTAATATTTTCCATTACTGATGATTCTTCTACTATCTCCACCACTGCGGATTTGCATCAACAATTTCATATCTGTGCTGATATGGTATGGCAACTTGAACTGATGTACGTACGTACGCAGTTCTGCGTTGCTGTTGATTGATAATTGATGAGTATCTGTGTGTGTCCGAATGTAGCAAGAACTAAAAATAATAATCTCCTAAAAATTCTGCGAGCGAACTGTAGTGTATATATATATATATATATAGACAAAACAAGGTGTACTAGATTACGTTGAACGCACCGCTAAATGCCACAGGCATTCAGAGTTTGATAAAACTATTGTCCATCACAATTTTTTGGTTAAGGGCCACAAATCCAGTCAAATTAGAAGTATGGAATGAAGAAGTGTCAAATATATATGTGAAAGATAGTTGTAAATTTGAAATTATTTAAAAGAATACTACTATACCCAATATTTTAGAGCTTCTACAAAACGCAAGCAGCAACTGGGATTAGAAGTACATATTATAGATCTGTATTGTGCATTTATATTTAAAATCAAGTCAACATATTTCATTGTCCAGTAGATGTAATAGTTACTTACCACAACGGTTGATGCATGAAGTATATGAGCCAAACTGACCAATATTTGTTTGCATAGCGTGACACGAAGTAATCAATGACTTTCTGATGAGGATGCCTGACCAAGTGCCCTCAGCTAAGATTTATTTAGAAAAATAACCTATGTCATTCGATATGCTGAAGACTAATAGAACTATTTATTTTGAATGTTTATTTATCACTACACATTCAACACTGCCTATATCAATAAATTAAGGCATAAACTTTACAAAAAATACACCTCAAATTTAACTAGTTCTTAAGAGGAAACCATACAAAAGCCCATTACTATTATACTATACGCTTGTCCTGAAAGCATTTCGTGTTCATTTGTTTAGCTAAGGTATTTTACTGTGTCGCGTTACGGGAAACTTTCAACACAATAATTCAACGTTGCATTATTTTCTCCCAATTCCCGAAGGATGGTTGATATGATGCAGCGTAGCTCTGCCAGTAGAGAACTGCTGGATAGAATGGATGATCATGCAGACTGGGTAGTTTTTCTTGACCTTTATTCTCATTTTATCATCATATGTTTATCTGTAGCAGTACGCATTATATAATGCTAACTGTAGCACTCTTTTAAGTATTCCCATTCGTCTCAAGTTATGTAAATACTAATTACTTTAAGCGCACCATGTAGTTCCCATTATTCAGTACGTCCTAGAGATCTATCTGGTTACATACGAAAGTAGCTTCAGGTTGAATATAACTCAGTTAAAGTAATCTCTTCATTAATTTAAGTGAGATACTTCAAAACGACTCCCCCTTAAAGTTGCTCATAACTGTTTCGCAGATCCATACGGCTCAACTGTTACTATGTTTTACAAGGGTGAATCAATGCAAATCAAGAAATGAATGAATTCCAAAAGGTTGGGTCACTATAATTTTCTACTTGACTCAATATTCATAGCTCCACTGATTTTAAATTGATATGTTGATGATGTAGTTCTGTTTTGTGAAAGCTCTGACAAAATTCAGTCATCCGAACATCTTAAGCAACGATACAAACATGTTTGGCATACGTTTCTTCTTCCAAATGCAAAATGTTGCCTCAGGATTGGGTTGCGTCGGCACCTTGAATTAGTGTTAGGATAAATGGAGAGACTGACACTTTCAGTTACTTTGATTATCTTAAGAGTTCGTCAGCCCTGACGGTTTGGTCTCTAAAGAAATTTCGTCATAGATACAGATGTTTAAACTGTCTCTCACCGACTTGCGTCACTTGTGGTTTAGGCGAGATATTCGTGTATCAACGAAAGGAAAAGCTAACCGCTTATCATTTCTCCCCGTTCTACTCTACAGGTGTTAAACGTGGTCACTAAGAGTAGAGAATATTCTTAGACTACTAGTATTCGACCATAGGTGTCTTTAAAACACTACTTGTGTATTCTGGGATCACCGAGTATGCAATGCGTGAGTTAGAAATGGAATATGTGATAAAAAACTGTAACTCGATTAATGAATTAGTAGATCTTCATCAGCTGAGGTGGTTAGGCTGCGTTACGCCAAACAACCGCCTGTCTCGGTGCTAACTGGCTACCTCGATGGTGCCCAGATAACAACTAGAACCAGTATTCTAATGACGCGTCTCAAAATTGTTTACAATGGCACAGTTGTATCAGTTGTCTTCCCACAAGTTATAAGCTTCCAAATTCTTTTTGATGTCTTACTATTTCATTGATTTGTATGTTCTTGGATCTTATCTTCGATCCCTCATCTTTCTCGTTACCATTACTATTTTTACGATGGCATTTGACCTGGCAATTTCATCTCTGCTAATGGGATATGCCAACTTGAATTGATGTACCCTACGTATGTACCAAGTTCTGCGTTGCAGTTGACGAACTGATTTCCCAATAACTTTTAGTAGACGGTGGTTGATATTTGTTACCTATCGCCAACCCCACTGTAAGAAGTCTCTGATCTTTGGTTGAGTTTGTCTGTTACCTTATACCTTTTATAATTTCACATAGGAAATCTAGTTGGAGTCGAAATCTAAAATCACTTTACTGCATCTGGTCACATTTTTACTCTTTTGGAATACTATTTAATTTACTTAAAATTTTTATATTCATAGAAAACATACTTCATCACAAAACCCATTTTGTATGAAAACTCTGGCAGTCACTAGTTATGGTCATTCAGTAATGTTCACCTGAAAACAATGAATTTCTTCACATTCGGAACATTGTAGTATTTATTATTCTGAATTTTACATATCTTGTTATTAATTTCATCGTTTACTTCTATGTATTCCATCCCGTAATTTTTACAGCTAGTACGAAAAAGCCGACGCTATCTGCCTCATGTAGCTAGATTCTGTCTTGTATCTACATTTATTGAAGATGGTTTTCGACTGTTAACTCAATGGTCTGATCAAGTGGATTATATTCAGTCTGTTTGGGGAATCCCTACCATATTTGCAGCCTTCTTCATTTTATTAAACATATGCACACAGTTTGCTGGGAGTGCACTTGTTTTGGGTCGCTATCGGGTGAAAATTGGTGTTGGGATTCTTATGTCAACTGTATTAATACAAGTTAGTGTTCAAGTTGTTATGTTTATTATTTATGCATAATGAACTTGGGATTTCTTTCCGCGTTTATTGTCCTATATATCAATATTATTTGTCTTAGCTTATTTCGTCCACCAGCGTTAGTAATTTGTCTCACGCACCAGGCGAAACGGTAATGTTAGGCTTCGTTGTATGTAGTATTGCAATATTAGGAACTCATTACTTTGTTTTGCGTTTCGAGCTATTGTCATTTGTTCGTTATCATTCGTTTTACGTATAAAAAGTATGAAGCTAACTATTCCTCATTGGATTGGTTTTTTATCCTAACTTTATTGTTTATTTTAGCGACCCTATTATCTTGTCTTACATTGTTTTCACTCAATTTACAAAAATTGTATATTTTCAAACATTAGGATTATTTTTGCCGAGAACATCCTAATTTAGCAATTTATTTGGGCTATACAGTCAATATATCTGAACATACTTAAACAATTTATACTGAATCACAATATATTGACTTGTAATCTCATTTCTGTTTACTACTATTTAAGTAAACTAGTTAAAAAATTAGAGCCAGCTGCCATTTTATTAATGGAAGGATAAAACGAGATAACATTTCCAAGTATAAAAATCGTGAAGTTGAGAATTTGATAAGGTTTGAAACTTGTTATCTTTGACATACATGGATGGACAAAAAAGATGGAAAGCAGATTTCCTCTTCTCAGCATCTAATTAAACTTCGGAAAAAATATCAATAAAATTTGCTAAGTATCATTGTTTGTATAAGTTATTTTTAAAATATTAAATTAAATACAGTTTTTCCTATGGAGAATTTTCCAACGTTTCCCCCTGAGGGTAATGTAATAACAAAAATAGAGTTTGTTTTGTTTGTTAACTTATTTTAAGATGGTTTTTTCACTTGAACATAAGTTCAAATCTAAAGGTTATTACTTTCTTAAAAAGCAACTTATACCGAGTTAAAAAAAGTCAGATTAAATAAAAGTGGCCAGAAGTCAATGAGCTAAACTGACTGCTTGTTGCCAGGGTTGCCATAGCTCAGTGTACTCGATGCTGATGAAATTTTTTCGATGCATTGATATATGAGTATCATTATTATAATCTACTAACTGCCAAGTTTATTTCAAACTAGCAAGTTGAATCCTGGTATAAAAGATATTTAAATTAATTTATTTCACACTAATGAAATCAACTTACCGTATTCTGATCGTAGAGAAATTTTTTCAGTTGACATATAGATTAATGCTTATTCGGAAATCCAGTTTTTAGCCTGCTTGTAGATTTTAATTCCTAAACTATGTACTTGCTAGGACTATTATTCATTACTAGATGTTAAGATTTCAGTAATTCCAACAAATGGTTCAGTAAATCAATTTCGGGATGTAATAATCCAAAGGACGTGTAAGTGAATCTTACAAATATGGAATGATATTAGATGTACCGAATAGGTGTCTCTCTGTTACGACCAATTAGACAATGATCTACTTAGCCTAGGTCATTCCAAATTTAGCTGAGTAAATGGAAATCTCGTGTTGCACACAACTTTCAGAATCCGCATAACAATCCTTAATGTACACAACCTTTTCGATCAATGTGAGTCATAGTTGAAATTCTTTTGAAAGGTATGACAAAGATTATATTGGATTCTTCAATTAATAACAATTTCGTTTCCTACTGAGTTTTCATTTTTTTTCATAAACAGGAATCTACGAAGAATATAAAAGTGTTGTAACAGTTTAATCATACTCATAGTTTTTTAAACTTTTTGATAATCACTTTTACAAAATTGATTGTTGTATTTTTTTATGTTTATTGACCTAATGTTAACACTTTTACTAGTTGACTGTATACACTTTCTAAATATCTATTTATTTACTCATTGTAGACTATTGGTTATAATATTTGGACAAAAGTATTTTTCATGCGTAATCTATCACTTATTGGTAGTTTATTGTTATTACTGGCTGAAGTACAACAAGAAACACGTAGCCTATTAGCTGGTCTACCATCTTATGGAGAGAATACACATCGACAATATATTTTACTTGGCGGTAGAATACTTATTATTCTGATGTTCGTGACATTAATTCATTTAGGCAGTAGTATATTTTATGTTATACAGGTGAGAAGTTATTCTTGTAACATTATTGTTCGATTTAACAAGAATTATTCTATATTCTAATTACTCTAATTTTATGTAACAAAAGTTTAATGATGAAACAAAAGACAAGCGCAAATAGGTCAATGTAAAACTCGAAGAGCGTAAATGCATTTATAATCTAGACCAAGAGTTTAAACACCATGGACTGGGAATTCAAAGAGATAAAGATGATGTAGCCCAAGAAGATTATTTTTCTAAAATTGCGAATAGGACTCTGTCATTAGCAAGCGTGTCTCCTGGTAGAAGGTCTACTCCTGAAGATTCAGACGATGACAATGTGAACTTCAAAAGCATGTCTACGACAAAGTTAAAGAGGAATGGAGAGGGTGAACATCCCTAACGGACACCACTTGAAGTAAAGAATTCCGATAACGGTTCGCCATAAGCTCTCACTCGACCAGTGGTGTTCGAGTAGAGAGCCTGTACAAAATTAATGTATTTCTCTGGCACACGTTTTAGTAACAAACACTGCAGCAGAACCTCACGATTCACAGAGTCGAATGCCGCTTTAAGGTCAAGAAATACTACTATTGTGGGTCGTCTGAACGTGTGCCTTTGTTCTAGGACCTGACGTAGTGTGAATATCTGGTCTATACATCCACGTCCAGGTTGAAAACCAGCCTGGTTTTCTATGATCTGCTCTTCACGAGCTTTCGTTAATATTCGGAGTATTATTGAGGCCAATAATTTGGATACTATATTAGTTAGACTTATTCCTCTGTGATTGTCACAAGAGTACTTTTGTCCTTTTTTATGGACTGTGACAATCAGTGATTGAGATCAGTCAGGTAGGATTACGCCCAGTTCCCAGATCCTACTTAAGATCTCAGTCTCTCAACATCATAAAGACTCGGAGGACTTACACCGATTTTCCATTCAGAATGACTGGAGATCGTGGGCAGCAGACGGTTGCCATTATCTGATCTTTGAGCCACGACACTATAAGATCCACCCAGGTATCTTTCCTCTTTACTTAGTCTACCTACTTGAGCATTGAAGTCACCGGCCATTATTACTATATCAGAGCGCTTAACCTTTTTGAGGTCTGAAAGCTTTCTGTAAAACTCATCTTCCACCTCATCTGAACTGTAGTCAGTAGGAGCATAGGCGCGGAGACAACGAAGAGGCAACTGCGATTGGCCCTATCTTTCTGAGTTCCTACCGTCCGTTTCAGTCGGGCAGTGCACAAGCGACTATCTACTAGGATCCAGTCTAGGAGAGCTAGTTCTGCTCTAGAACTCAATGCTATATCTACATCAGCGAGACCCCTAGAAGCAGTATCGGGGCTTTCAGATACACGAAGAGTAAATCGAGTTGCTTCTTTATTTTGACAAGGTGAAATCAAGTTAATGATTTTACTAGAATCGTCTATGCGCGTTTCGGAGATGCATTATAGATCGATGACGCGAGATTCTGAAGTCGTAACTAAAGAAGCCTGTTGGCCTATTTGACACAGTGTCAAACATGTAAAAGCTCCAACATGTAATTTAGGACAAGGTTTCAGGAGACTAGGGATAACGTTCCGGGAGCTCGAATCGTTCGCATCAGCGATGCAGTGAGATAAAGGAATGTGAGAAGGGTTGGTCGTGGAGATAAGACAGTTATTAGGAGGTGTAGTAAGGATATGATTGTGACCGATTCGGTCTCGTGCGCTTGTATGGGTAGGAGAGCGAATGTCTTTTGCCGGCTGCCCACACTGTGGAAGGGTGTTTCTTGAGGAACTTTAAAAGAAAGGTAGATTAGTGTTGGTCTCAGAGATCATGGAGTGTGACCACAGAGCCCAAGATTCTATTGAACATGGCGTTACATTGATAATTAACTAATCAATTTATTAAGTTGTTATTTCATGTGTAGTTTGCAAGGTGAGTTTACGAAAGTGGTAGTTGATTACTCAGTAGAACTTTTAAAATGTTCATTATAAAAATACCAATACAATTGCAACATTAAAATCATGTACTGGTCCAATGTTAAACCACCATTGAAAACCTAGAAGCTCTAGGTGTCGGTTTCGTCCTAGTATGGGACTTAACCTTGCGAACCACAACCGTACACGTGGTTACTGAACCCAAGACATTTGTTCTTGCGCTCAAACACTTCATTCCTAGACTGTTCAAATTGATCCGGGATATTGCACAATTATATCATGATTACAACAAGATGGTTTATACATTCCATTGTGACTAAAGAAGCCCAGAATACTTCATTCTGAATGTTTTATTTACCTGTCGTACAGTATTCGATAGTTACATTTCCTTACTTTATTTAATAAGTTTAAAGTCACTCTATCATGTTCTCTCAATGTATACTGGATTGACTTGTAAAATTCTGATATACCTACACTCAAGTTTTGATTTTCACATTCAAACACCAGCGCATTCTCCTCTATCTACTAAACTACTGAGTGCATATACAGCTATTAATCTGTTCAGTTGTGAATGTCGATAGCAAAATCATGCAAATCATCACTAACAGTTATAATTATCCATTGAGTTCTTATTCTTTCACTTATTTTCTTACATGAAGTATTGTAATCTATAAAATGGTTATTAAGTTTCCACTGATAATTAAGTAGTTCACTTTTATTTTTTATTTATCAATAATTATTTTTCTTTAATTGTTATTTTGTAGTCGATTGGCAATTTGATTTTAATACTACTGGTAGCAATTGGTTATAAAACAAAACTTTGTGCAACAGTTTTAGTAATTTGGTTAACTGGTATGAATTTCTATTATAATCGATTTTGGTCCGTCAGTAATGATAGTTTAATGTGGGATTTCCTGAAATACGACTTCTTTCAAACATGGTCAGTTATTGGGGGTCTAGGTTTGGTGGTTGCTTATGGACCTGGTGGAGTCAGTGTCGATGATTACAAGAAGAAATGGTGATAACATTTCTCTGTGGTTTTCTCCAGATCCTTCATCGTGATATATCCAATCTGAATAGATTTCATGTATACGTGGAGTGAAGTAGTCTGCAATCTAATGTATTTGTATGCGTGATGAAGTATATCTGATGACGTTGTACCTGTTTGATTAGTTTTTCTTTCGTCTTGTAAAATGTCCATTTGTTTTTCTGTCATACTATTTGATTAACACTGAATGGTAGGATGTAATTATTTGGCAAATATGAAAGAAACAATATCAAAGAACTATTGCATATTCTTTGATTTCTAATTTCTGTTATCTTTTGTCCATTCATTGTTCATGTTCAGCTATCTCTGTTTTTGTCTATCAACATCTTAAATAACACTGCACAATCACTCACTGTGTGTGTACAGTCTATGTGTATGATTCATAAATTTCATTCATCCTACTTACTTGATTCTCTTTCGTTTATTTGTAGCTTATGCAAAAAAAAAACTTTTCCATTGTCCTAATATATCTCCCTTTGTAGTCTGATACTTTTGTTTTCTTTTCTTATAATTTCAAGTATATTATACACGGTATAACACATATATATATACATATATCGTTTATTTTCCCCCTTAACTGTTTATTGTGTTCTGTTTATCTTTTACTTTTTTCTTTTCTCCATTGTATCAAATTTTGAATCCATTTAACATGAAAGTGAAATAACAATTTTTATGGTGTTTTGTTTTTTGTTCTTATAAAAATTGAATATTAAAGATTCGTAGTGTACGGTGGCTGTTTCGAAAAGATATTGGTAATTCGAATATCAAACTACCATCTACCTTGACTGGACAATTTATGAAATCATCGTTGGTTTTAACCATGTTCGTAAGTGTAAACCCGATCATAAGTGTATCACGATTCTCATAATTCACATCAAAGTAGTGACAAAAGAAATTAACAAAGTAAGAATAATTTGAGAGGAATCCATCCGAAGTTTAAACATGAAATTGATACAGTTCAAAATAGAGGAAGGAATAAGGCCAACCAATAAGAAGTTATTTGTGACATTTAACTTATGCTTTAGAGAGCGAATGCTGTTGGAATTGCTTCTACATTATGTCCCTCAATATCTATAAAAACTTATTAGAGTATTGCGTGGATTCCAACCCAGAAGTCTGCACCTACCGATATAATCTCATCTTTAGCTACTTTCTAACGTACACTTATGTCAGTTGGATTCACATGTGATTAGTAAGGAATATGTGGCTAATGTCACAACCGCCTTGAGCGATACATAGAGGGAGTGGAGTTGGAACATGTGAACAGCGGTTGGAGGTTGAGTTGTTTAATTTCTATTCGACAACAGCCATCAAAATGTTCGGAATTTAAAAATCTGAACTTGGGTAACATACTACGTTTATTGGATTGAAACGCTAGGATATTTAAAGTGTACAGCGAGACTGAAATGACATTGTGATGCACGTTCCATTAGTCATCAGTACAGTTTAACTCAATTCGATGAAGTTGAGAACAAGAGCATATCTGCAAATAGTTTGTACATACAAGGTTACTAGATGATACAATTTCATTTAGGAATGTTCATGAGCACTGACTCGCTGAAAAATAGTTGACTAGCTTGTCTGCAACATCTTTTGATTAAACATGTTAAGTTAAATGTTCAGAAGTTTCTATTTCGACAACCAATGTTCATTATATCATAAAATATAAGACATAGATAAACTTATTATTTACGAAGTTAACATTCTGTAATTGAACGAGAAATATGACTTTCTCACATTTATTTGAACTAAATATACGGTCTATGCACAAATTGTATGCTAGACATTATTTGCGCTTAAATAATATTTTCGAAGCAAATATTCCTCAAAATTTCGGCAAAGTGATGCTGATTGCATTTTGAACTATACTCTTGTAAGGGAATTTTCTAAAGAAAAATAGCGATTAAAAACTTACGTACTTTTGCCTGTTAACCGTAATAGAGCTTAGACAGTCAACTAGCATTGTCCAAACTACTCAACCTTGGGCCTTTCTTTGCAGTTCTGCCCAATTGCTGTTCATTATTTTAACATCAACTTCCAATTCTTGGCGTAATGTGTTCTTCGGTCGTCCACTTTTCCTTTAGCCTTGAGGATTCAAGTGAAGGCTTGCCTTGTGACGCAGTTGAGTGCTTTCCACAATGTGTGTCCTATCCACATCCAGCTCCTATTCCGAATTTCTTCCTCTGCTGGAATCTCGTTTGTCTAGTCTCATAGTAGCTTGTCGCTGGTGTCTGGTCAACGGATCCTCAGTATCTTGAGTAGACAAGTGCTAATCAACACCTGTATCTCTCGGATGATTGCTTTCGTGGTTCACCAACTTTCCGCTCCACACAGAACTGTCTTGACGTTCGTATTGAGAATTCTAACTTCGGTAGTTGCAGATGTTCTTCGATTGTAGAAATGCTACCCTTGCTTTACGAATCTGAGCCTTTACATCTACATAAGATCCACCTTGCTCATCAACCATACTGTCAAGATATGTAAAGGTTCCTACATCCTCGAAAGCCTCTCCGTCTAGTGTGATTTGATGGGTGACTGTCGTGTTGTATCGGAGGATCTTTCTTTTCCCCTCGTGTATGTTGAGATCTGCTTCTGCTACACTGGTCTTCTCTTGCATTTGTTGTCGAGTGTGCGATAGAAGAGCCAGGTCATCTGCGAAGTCCAGATCGTCCAGCCGCATCCTAGTTGTCCACTGTATGATGTGCTTTCCCTCAGATGTCGATAACTTCATAATGCAGTTGACCACCAGGAGAAAGAGAAAGGGTGAGAGTAAGCAACCATGTCTGACACCAGTCTTCAGTTGGAACGAGTCTGTGAGCTGTCCTTCATACACGACCTTGCAGTTCATTCCACTAAAAGAATTTCATATGATTTTGACAATCTTCAAAGGCACACCACAGTGTCAAAGGAACCGTAGTATGATTCTGTTCATCCTGTTGAATGCTTTCTCGTAGTCAAGTAAGTTGCTCATGCTGCTTCACTGCAGTTGATTCGTCTGATGGCCATGCTGATATATTTGATTGTTAGTGGGTCATTTCCGCAAGCAATTTGAGTAGTTCTCCTGGTCTCGTACAATGTACGAACGCTCTATTTACCTATATTAATGGTTGTTCTGGTTATCAAAAGGGGCACCGACCTCGTGACTTCCGAATAATCTCGGTTTTCATCATGATACGTCATAACTCTTCTAAATGTCGGTCTTCCAACTACCAAGGGAGAGTTTAAATACGTTTTTCTGCATAGCGTTTTCTTAGAGACCTAGTTTTCTACGAGATGTAGTCGCTAACTCTATACCCAACCCTCCTACTTTACCCGGGCTTGGAACTGGCAGTAACCTCAGAAAGGTTACTAGCAGGGTTAAGCGGTTAAATAAATTCGAGACAATTTTGCGATAAGATAAAAAAAATTAGTAGTATAAACGTTTGTCTTTTGAATGTGTCAGAGCATTCTAACTAGAAAATTAGATCCTAGTGGTCGACATTGTTAAATATTCCAACGTCAGACACAGTCATCCCATCATATTTTACAACTCTTAGATGATACTCAGGACAATTCAATCCAGTTAGAAGTTGAACTTTACTTCGAGCAAACACCATTTTAGTTTGATTATAATGTGCCTCTGTTGTATCCTGTTTTCCTGAAACCCCATTTACAGATAATGTAACTAAGTCATGTAAACTCCTAGACCTCTAATTAGAAGATCAGATAAACAAGTGCAGGTACATTTATAGTACCGATTTCATAAATTATGTAATTATGTGTATATACGAACACAAGACCAAAATTTACTAAAATTTGGGATAACTAAACAGAATAAGTAAATATTATTAAGAGTAACAATTGTTTGATCTATCCAATACGTATTCTATTACTTTACTTAAAACAATGATTCATTTATAGAAATATCAATAATAGAAAAAAAATCTAGTTGACCAACAACTATACAGTTTATCGACTGATTTACCGAAGAATTCCCATCTAGGCTTAATCATCTGTACTTGTTTTGACTGAATGCATGAATCATGGTAATCCTTTTTTTATGTTATGTAATTCTTCATCATAAATTTGTTAATTTCATGTAATTATTACAATAATACACATTTGGATTATTATGGATATCTGCAGGATCCGATCATTTGACCGCTTCAAATAAACCCAGTCTTGCGTTCAAACGCAAGAGAAAAGGCACGAAGTGCGGAAAGAACGCTTTACCCGAAGGTTAGGCTATGAACAATAAAATAAAAGGTATTTATCGTCACATATGACGTTCGGATGCTGAAAATTTCAGCAACCACAGTGAATATAGGTGACGATAAGGCTAAACATCCTATAAGAATCGTGGTACGTAATCCTTCATCTTCTCAATGTGCTTGTGAGTGTTCTATTTAATGCTGATTGGATTAAGCACCTCCTAACCTCTATAAGCTTTCCCAAGGGATATTCCGGCACCCTTCAACAGTTCCAATATGATTGTATTTATTAATCATCTGTACGGATAAACTGACATGATTTTAAAATCATTGCATCAAAGTTTAAATTACCCTCATTTTTGTGTATCTTGAATATTTTACTGAAATTCGAACTGTAATTTAAGTTAATGTAAACTAATTATGGATTGCCTGTTTTAGTTGATGTACACTTGAATAGTCTACTCTATGTTTGCTTGTCATGAGGATTGAATATGTCTACTTTTACTATTGCTGTTAAACGCGATTTATTGATTAGTTTTGATTGAAACAAATTCGTATGCCAAACCTTGTATCACTGGTTTTTTTAAATATTACATTGACGATAATTGCCAACTTAATGAGTTTAGCCAAAGGACGATCTACAAATTTAGTCTAAAATTGAACGCAATAGAAGTTTGATCAAATTCCGGTGAAATTCAAATAACAAAACATGGCGGTTGTGCCAAGAGTCATGACCGAGCAACTTGGCTGATATTGATGAAGCATAATCAATAGACTTATAAGCAAGAAATAAATTGTTGTGCCAAAAAAAAAATCATTTACAAGAAATATCATTAACAATTAGATTTTATCAAATTTCATTGACAGATAACTAAGAATAGTGTTATCTTTTGTCTAATCACAATATTACTTTTTTGTTTTCATAATCAACTATCATATCAATGGAATGAAATTCAAATACAATTTTTACCGCAAAACTATATGATGACGACAACAGCAACAACAACTGGATTGTGTTTTTACCCACAATCCTACATGGACAACAAATTTGTTCGTTACCTTTCACACCAGTCATCAGTGGTAGTAGTAGTTGTTGTTGTTGGTCGTGTCGCATGATTATTCATTAGTCGGTAAATGTTCACTTTTCACTAGTAAATTCATGACATAAATTTTCACACCATCATTTACAAATATGTAATTATGTCAGGATATTCACCAAATATCCTACGAAGAATCATTTTGTAAGTGTAAATTCTATTGGTCAATATTATGGTCGTCCTAGATATCACTGTCACTTCAAATGTTTATTCCTATCGGTCGCCTTGACTGTCAATGTCACAGAGTGCGAGGCTGTTTCCTATTCGACCTAAATGTATAAATATGAATTATCTGTAACGTTTTAGGACCCGGACACTGATCCTCAGTTCGGTTTTCGTGTCTTCTTCTGGACTCGGACCTCGAACTTTCTGGATGCTTGTAGAATACAGGTTCTACTTCATATCAAGTCTTATTCTTTCACTCAGTCAATGGAGATTGA